GGCACCGGTTGGCGTTCGCTTTTCGAACCTGAGGCGTGTCGCCTCAAGTTTCTTGAGCCACCCTTCTCGTCCAAAATTCTTTACGTTTTGGACGAACGCGTTCCACGCAGCCAAAAACGAGGCCTTGTCACGCTTCTGATTGCTGTTGTACCATCGATGTCTAAGGAAGACATCGAGATAAAAATCTTCCTCAGCGCGAAAGTTACTCGCGCTGGGATCCAAGCCATGAAGCTCAGTCGCATCGAATAAGGGTATTCGATGGTGTTGGCTTGTCTCGTGAGACAAGGTATTTATGAGCCGTTCGGGCAAACTCCACGGCTTCAGATCATCACGCTTCACAGTGGTACCCTTGTTGGTACCACGGTTGTCAGTATGACGACGGCTCACGCCATCGTCATCACTCTCGTGCGAAGAGGCACGAGCCGGCGGTAGTAAGGAATAATATTCCTCACCACCCTGATCATCGTCATCACTGCCGAAGAGACTGTGATGCAACTCACGAGTCCGTTCGTTCGGCAGTGGCCTTGGTGAATACTGAGGCGTCGCCGGTGAGTGAGACGCCTCTGGAGCATTGTCCGAGTCAGACACGTCTGACTCGCCAGAGTAGATGAACTCAATGTTGGGGTCATCATGCGCACGCGGTGCTGTACCGCGTGCACCTGCAGCACCTCTTGCTGCAGGCGAAGAACGAGCAGCGGACGACGAATCGTCTGCCGCAGAAGCTGGCACAGGCACAGACTCTGTGTGCCCTGAGTCACCCCGCATAGACATGTTAACTATGCGAGATCAGGTTGAGTTATGAACGGAACTGAACCAACAAGTGCTCCCTGTCCCAATAGCGCCCAACGGGTGGCCGCCATAATTTTCGATAGTCACACGTTGACTATCAGTTAATGGGGGGTGATGTAACGGGGCAGCCCGTTACATGGAAGTGTCACTTTAAAGAAAGTGACAGCAAAGAATATTGAGTGAATATTCTTTGAACAATGTCACCGATCATGGTGATATTGGTGAAGCGACCGAAGGGTCTGCTCATTGGTTGATATCGTGTGGATATCAACCCTCCAATCGCCGCAGGACGCGCGCAATGAGTGGTGACGAGACGTCACCATACACTCAGTTATATTAGCATAATTAAGTCAGGTTAAACAAAGAGAAAGTAGCAAAAAGACTTAATTATATTAATACAACAGTTTTACTTTCTCCTTATCCTACGCTTCCTCTTTCGCCTCGTGTACGTCTGGCGGGGCACCGATACCCTTTCGTTAAGTTCATGCAAGGGTGTGCCCCGTTACATCTTCAGTGCGCACCAAGCGGTGCTACCATCGTCAAGACCTGCCGAAGAGATTGCGGTCTGTTTCTGAGCCTATATGGGAGAAAAGCGCAAGATTTATCACCACGATTTGAAAGCCCCCTGTCCAATGAAAAGGTCCCGTCATCGGACTGGTCTGCGAGCTGCACCACTCGTTCACTTTTCAATTTGCTCTTTCCCTCCTAGACGACCGCACGCGACGATGCGCGCCCACTGCTTCGTACTTGTGGCCTGCACTGCGACTTTGATAGGCAGTACGAGCGCTATAGAGCCATCCAGCCCTACAATGACGAAGATTGAACCCGCGGCCGTCATTCGTTCCGCGCACGCCGACCACAATGGCGTCGCTTTCAAGAAACCGCTAGAGCAACACAACCACAAGGCTGGCGAAGAAAGGATGGGACTTGCGGTGAATAACGTCGAAGCGATAGAAACGACAACACATGAGCTTGTAAACGCATTCTTTAGAAGGGTTCAAGCCAAGGCCGGACCCTCTACAGAGACTAAGTCAGAGGCGTCCTTCAAAGATGCGCTCGGTCACTATATTGCGACACAATTCGAGGACACTGATAAAGGACGCGCTCATCTAGCCGATATATATGCGAGGCGAGATCCGAATGAGCTAGCACATTTGCTTAAAGTGGTCCACGGAGTATACCGTGCGCATCAGGAAGAAACGGCGTTGGCGGAAATTATGGAGGAAATGCAACGATTCGACACGCATCCTCTCGCGGTCCTCAGGATGATCATTCCCATTTATAAGGACGTTGGTAACCCCGAGAGACCTTCGGCGGACATAGTTTTCGAGCAACTGAAGGAGTACATCAAGATGTACAACGCGAAAAGACCAGACGAACCACCCATCGCGATGCTTCTGACGTTATTTGAGGGCTTTGGTAATTTGGCGAGACTCAAATCTTTTTTGTCGGACGTGAAGCCCAATCCCACCTATGCTCAAGAAGTCAATCGTATGGAACAGTTGCTGGCTGAGTTCCAGATGAGACTTGTCAACATGTTCGATGCTCTTGCTCTTGAGGTGGGGATCGCACCACAGGGACAGCGTTTCTTAGCAAACCACAACATGGAGTCATTCATGACATACATCTGGAGAATCATTAATTTACTTCCTCCGGGCCGTCAGAATATCTTCGCGGAACTAAAGGTGATGTCGGAGGCAAATCCGGCTGCCATTTGATGGAAAGAGAAGAAAAAGTGAGCATTTTCGTACCATCTAAAGCACTTTTGTGTGTAGCGCTGCTTCATAGTCGGACGCAGGACGCGTGGAGAGCTTAGTCACGCGTACTCTGCTACGGCAAAATGATTGATGCAAAGGTCAACCAAGTGACTTTTGACTTGCTACCCGCCTTTTGCGCGTCGAAGCACTACACAGACGTGCCGGACCCTCATATTACTTTCTTCATTAGCCAGTCACCTGCATGCAACAGCAAATAATACACTGCATCTTTGATCTTTACCTTGATTGCAAATGAAAGTTGTCTCGTCGGGGACTACCGGTATAAAAGACAATGTAGCAAAAGCTCTGTAACACTAGACGCAAGCACGTGAGAACTCACTACGCACTGTTGTCAAGGTGTAGTTCTAGTGCACGTTTACATGTATCACCACCAATACAGGGTTATACACCAATCACGCGCCATTCCCCATCCAAAGCTTCTTTGGATCACGAGTCCATGTATGCATCGTCTGCGCAGCACGTTCTCAGAAGCATCGTATCAAGATTTGTTGAGCAGACGATGCATGCATGGACTTGCGATCCAAAAATGGTAAGGTTGTTTCAGTTTCGGACAGCTATTGTTTGAGCGTCGTCCGGCATGATTCTAGCTCCGTTATCGCCATTAGTCGGAACAAGATAGCAACATTGCTTGGCTAGCTGTGCTTACGAATCTGCATGCTGCATCATAAATTTCACAGCTCGTTTGTGCAATTACCTTCTGTGACAAACTTGCTCAGTCGTTGTGAACGTATAAAATATTGGCCATGTCGCGAGCGTCGAAAGCGTACATTTACGACCAAGCTGAAAAACGATGGTACATGTCATCATTTGTGCAGCGATTTCGTGAGCCAGTAGTGAGTTCTTATCATGACGTAAATATGCATCAACACTTGGGAGTTAGAGCGTGTATGATCAACATCTTGATTCATTCGTGAATACAATCGATAGAGCCGCCTTCTACAAGCAACAGTGTAAGTGAGCGCTCCTGGTAAGACGATATACGCAAGGTAGTAAAACCATGACGATCCGAATACTAAGTAGCAAGCATAGCCAGTATAAGATACCTTTCCAATAGCGGTGAGGTACGTGTGCCGTAATTGCTGTATTAGGTACGCAAATCAGGGCGTATAAAGTACGAGAAACAGTGGCTGACACGTGTCAGGCACCTGGCTGGTATACGTATAGCTATCATTCTGGACAAAATTGGCAAAAAGCTCACAAAAAGTACGAGTACACCTCAAGATAGGAAACTCGGAAAAACGCATTCAATAATCACGAAAACAGATACAAACCACAAGATAGATAGTATAAAAATTGTGCATCACGTCGTAACAGATAAATGGGACACCACAGGATTGAAAACTGACAAAAGCGCATCAAAAGTTTAATAAAAATACAATGAACACACATTGATAGGTGTGACGGAGTAGTAAATGCATACGAGACAGAGAAATAAACAAATATACAGCTCTGATGCATACTATTCGATGATTTTTTTGGATGCAAGAGACCACATCCGACTACATGTTGATATTCTGGAAATTATTTATAGAGGCGATTTGTGCCACGCCAGTGCTTTGCCACATGATACATCAACTCACAACAGCATCATTATTATGTCATGTCCTCGCAGGGATACTGACCATGAATTTATTTGCCAACATGAAGTGCAAAAAATGTGCTACGTGTTTCATGTATAGTGAGAGGGACGAGATGCTACACTTGTGTGCAAAATGCCATCCACTGCAAACAGCAACATTTCGTCGATCTTCATAGAGCATCCATACTGCGCTATCTAACCAACATAAGCATCACTAACTCCACCCTGATCCTTTGCTTTATTGGCGACATGCCGCAACATTACCTATTATCTAGCGTGTATTAAACCTTCTATATACGCTAGAGCCCGCGTAATTATGTGTGAAAGTACTACAGCAATCCGCCAGCTCTCCACTTCTCTGTTTCTTCTTGATGTGGTCGTCCATCGTGTAGGCCGCTTCGAGCCGTACCAAACGCATCTTGTATATCATTGTGTAAGCTTTACTTCGGCACGGAAATGTCTCTCTCATTTATTTAGAAACGAATCCGCCAAGAAGGCACATGCGAATTGAAAAATTTCAAGCTTGAGATCTGCTAGAAGTGTTTGAAGCAACGTGAACTGAATGCACGATACACACCGATTTCCGATCACGCTTTAACTGTCAATCCACCGGTACCCTGGTGCGAAGCGTCGGTCGACGGCAAAGCATTTCAAAGGCCATGAGTGATGAATCATGAGCATCAACACCAGGAGATAGGCACAGATATGTAAGAATGATCCCGTGTACGTGTATAAACTGTCGTATAGTTTATGATAGTGGTAAATTATTTTTTTTGCGTTGTTTGAGCTCAATTTTGCTTTCTCACCTTATATTAATTTTTCTGAAATTATCAAAGTAAAGTGTGCTATGTAAATTCTTTATTTCTTTTCGACTATTATGTTTCCTGCTATCAATTCCGACATGTTGTGGTGCTTTTACATATACCATGTTCAACTCTATAGGATTTGAAATTTTGTTTGATGATCCATATTTTTTCATCTTGAAGTGTCATTCTGGCGCTTTTTGTATAAGACTGTACCCATATAATAAAGGAAATGACATAACATACATTTACATACCATGCATACTGGGGTCATTATTCTTTTCAAATCCAGGTCAACGTTTTAAGACTATTTTTAGTATTTCATTAGCCTACATGTTGGTATCTTTTCTGGGGGCGTAATGAAGATGCGACCGGTCTCTCTACTGGCACCTAGACAAATAAGTGACGGAGGCGCTAACAAAACCGTGTATTGGTCTTTTTTGACCTTATTGCATACCTAAATTAGGGTCATTTTACATTCTTTCTGATGAACAGCAGTCGATCTTAATCTAGATAGTGCTGGGAATGGTGGGGTAGATTGCGTAAAAAAGCCTCGCTCAGTCACTCTTACTATTAGCGATCAGCCACAAGTAGACTGTGTGTGGATGATCCACTTGACCTTGTGATGACGTCGGGTGCGTATTATAAAACATGGGTTTCTCTTTTTGGGACTTATCGCACCTGTACAAACATTATAAAGCGATCTTAGGCAAAGCTGAACAAATTATCTATGAATTGAGTAGCCGAATAATGCTGAGACATCACATGCTGTATTTGATGGCTCTGCGTGACGATATTGGTACGATTTTCGATCAAGAGCTCGAGACCATGGCTAAGTATGCATGTTCGGCGAGTACATTACAAGGTAATCTACTGGCGCGAATGAATTCGCAGTGTAGTGAATATCTGAGAAAGGTGGGGAAATCGGTGCGTTTTACCCAGATGAATGATCATACAGCTAGCCTATGAACAAAGGCGATTTCAGCTGATGCCATGCTCAAGGAGGAAAGAAGCGCGCAGATTTTAAGCAAGGCGCGAGAGTAAGAAGGCTAGTTCGTGTTTCCAGTGCGTAAAATATTCACTTTATGGCACGAACCTTTAATTAAGAATAAAATGATCCTCGTGTTGGCCGTAGCAGATGGCGTGGATGTCAAATCTCAGTGAATTTTAGACAGCGAGTCATGTCATCACTCGGTGAAAATGTCCTCGCAGCACCACGACGCGGTGAAGTGCTTTGATGGGTGATCAACCCGAAATGAATAGAGCATGCGAATCCAGCTGATAGAAATCATATAATTCATGAATGGCGTAGATGGCGAATTTCGACAAGTCAAGCCTCGAAAATTACTCCATTCAGAGAATCTTCCATGGATTGATATTTTGCAGCGCCGTTCAAGGATGTGGGATGCGAATTACCCTACAATGAAAAGACGCAGTGGTTTTCTCCGCGGCGACAGATCAATTCCATTGATTACAACAAGGGCACAAACAACGTTTTAGGTAGTGCAAGTTGTCGAGGATGATGCGACGAAAGGCGATTTTCACACGGATACCGCGGTTGGTGACACTTCAAGTATACCAGACCCCGATATATAGACGGTGTGTCTGCTGGATTTCCATCATCTCTTTGCGTACCTACCATAAGCCGTAATTGGGCATATGACTTTCTTTTCTTGTAGGCGGGATCGAAATCACGGCTAAATCTAGGCCGTTGTGCTTTACATGTACACAATGCTTACAGCGACTAAACAATCAATTACAAAAGGACTGAGGACGAAAGACACCCATCGACATTGTACGCGGTGTCATCTGTAGCGGAATTAAGGAAACAAATTTGTGCTTAATACTTTTTGCAACACCTACAAAATTTACTTAATTTATTACATAAGTAAATCCTGCCGAGTAATTCTCCCCGAGTTAAAAAAAAGGCGGGTTAGAGCAGGTTAAGCAGTCACCCGCTTGCTAAAAGCAGATGACTTTTCATAATATATTGTGTTTGAACAGATAGAGAAAGTGATTACAAGGTTTTAAAATCGTTCAGCAAGAGCGAAGGTGTACGTCGACAACATTTGGAAGTTGATAATCTATCATCGAAGCGAAAAGCATATCGTATGAACCAAACGATTGCAAACATCCTATAAAAATTGTATTTTGGTCCGTGCTGCCACTTTAAATATTAAGGTGACGCGGCCAGAAATGCAGCTTATATTTTAAAGAGAAGCCTGACTCAAGGAAACATAAATCAGTTGTAGCCAGTTTAGATAATTAAGAAGGTCTAGCCGAGGCTGCCAGACATTGTCATGTTTAGATCAACGTGTAACGCTATCTGTACAACGAAGCTCAAGACACTCGACGAACGTGACGAGGGGGGACTCATTTTCGGTCAAAATGATGAAAATAAAAAACACAGCGTATTGTCGTCGAAAGAAAGAGTGTTTGGTACTACACATCACTCTAAAAATATCATGAAACTGAGCGCAGGGGCAAATGCGTAGCTCCACATGATAAGCAACGGCTTCAACACAGAGATTGGCGTAAAGAAGATCGCGAGCACAAGT